AGTCACTTTTGATGTATGTACTTCCCTTAAGGTCATACTTTTTAGCCATGTCTTATTCCTTTCTGTGCCCAATGCACATAGTGCATCTAACAAATGRGCTGAACGTAAAGATGGGTGAGTAATTCAAAGGCAAATGTGAGTTTTAGATGACCAGCTGTATTCTGATTATCAACTCTTTCCTATTACATGAAAATGTTGAAACTCAACTCAGCAGTTAAAATCAGTGCTGCCAGACTGGGTCCTAATTAGAATAAGGTRTAYTCCATGCTTATATAATCAYATCAAAATGGRTTCTRACGTCAYGTGTGACTAAAAAGAACCAATYAACAAAAACAAGTGCGGCCAGRTGATGTATTTGGGATAACCGAGGGAAAGCAAAGCTAAAGRACACTCAGGAAGTCTGGCACCCCAGGAAAACACTGGTTTTCATTTGCTTTTACTTCCTGTTTCTGGGACGGCTAGTCCCCACTCCATCTCCTACTTCTTCTTTTCCATTGTAAGGCTTTGTAAGATGATTCTTACACCTTCTTTTTGGACCTTCCTTTGGTCTGTCCTTTGAATCTTAGCKTAATTATCAGTCCAAAGTCTCAATAAAGGTTGATTCTAATCCCCTGCACTGAATTTGACATTTTTATCTGCGTYGTTCTCTATCACAGTACTCTGTTTGTGCCTTGGTGACAATGACCACAACTGGCAATTATTTACTTATTTACATATCTAGTCCCAGTCAAAAGACTGTTTCAGCAGAGCAGAATGCAAATGTGTTTTGTTCACGGTTCTCTCCAGCAAGTAACATCAGTAGGTGCTCACTAATACTTGTGGGGTATTAATGAAGGAATAAATTCTCTTGATTCTACTTTCCACATATCTCTTGATTTTGTATCGTTTTACAGGAAAGATGTCTAATTGATCTTTGTTTTCCTTGTTATCTAGCACACAGGAGTATATAACAAATGTTTGTTGACTGTGTACATAATATCACTCAAAAACATAAAAAACCCAAGGGACTAATACAAATTTTTCATRTTAAAAACTGAAAAACAATGCCCCTTCTACTTTTATTCCCATCAACATGGTGTCTTTTTATTAACTGTCTTTGTGGTTTAAAGTACTTTGTAGTTGTATCTATTCAATGCCYAGTTACCACTTAATTCCCAGGAAGTCACATGCCACTGTTTCGACCTGTTCACACAGATCCCCTCTGGCCTTACACACTTTCTTAGCCTTACTCTTTCCCAACCTTCTGAGGCTCATGCATTGCACAAGGAGTACTTTTATAGACCTTTTTTACAAATTAGTAAGGCCTGGGTCTTATAGCTTTTTGTGATCTCCACAGCAAGAAATCATACTGAGGGGCCGAGGTCGTGGCTCAGCGGTAGAGGGCTCGCCTAGCACATGTGAGGCGCTGGGTTCGATCCTCGGCACCACATAAAAATAAATAAATAAAATAAAGGTGTTGTGTCCAACTACAACTAAAAAATATTTTAAAAAAAAAGAAGACAGCAGTGTAAGGTTGGCTACTTCTAAGTGATTGCCTAAACATTTCTTCCTATTTACTTCTCTTAGAGGGTTAAATAAATTAAAAAATCTGAACATTCAGAATGCGAAACTGAAATGACCAATTATTTCACCATGAAAAAAAGGCCCAAACTGAAACCATCTCCCTAGCTTTCCCTGAGTGTCCTTTCAGGATATTCTCATCAAAGTTAGAAAAAGAAACAGACGAAGGGGCCAGGGGGTTAGCAGTGATGGTGGAATGAGGTGGACATCATTATCCAAAGTACAGTATGAAGACAGGAATTGGTGTGAACATACTGTGTGTACGGCAGAGATACGAACAACTGGGCCCAGTGTGTGCAGTATGAATTGTAATGCATTCCGCAGCCATACGCAGATTAAAAAAAAAAAAAAAGAAGAAACAAAGACACGACAGACACAATGGTCTTCTTCCCCCTGCCATGGCCTGGCTGCCCTGGCCTCGAGAGTGCAGGAGAGAGCTGGGGAATCCCGTCAGGCAGGTCTTAGACTACATGGAGCTGCCTAAAATTCTTCAACTGACTTCTAGCATCACAAACTGGTCTCTCTGTGGGCTCATATGGAATAGGTTTGTATGAGAGCAATACTACGASCAATACTATCAAATCTGACTATCAAGTCATGCCCACACTGACCTGGGCATGCTGACCACATTAGCAAATCCTAAATTCCTACCCAGAGTGTTAAATTCTTCAATTCATTTACCACGAAGAAAGCTCAATTTCCCCCCAATTCACAGATTCAGAAAACGTGCACCAACACTTGTTACGTGCCTTCAGAGTAGGCACTAGGATATACAGCAAATAAAGACAAATATGAGCAGTTTCTGACCTCAAGGAAGCCCAGAGACTAATGAGGAAGTCAGAAAGGAAATAAATAATTTAAGCTTTACAGGGGATAAAAATAGTGAAATATACAGGTGAGATAAACAAGTCCCCTGAGGTGGGGGCGATTAATAACCCCCAGTGATGTCCTCCAGGAAAGTCCTCTCAGAGGACCTGATCAGAGTTAGACCTTAAGAAGACACCTGGAAAGGGAGGTAGGGTGAAAACCGTCACCTCTGGYACAACAGCTGACCCAGCAGCTCCAGAAACTTCACATCCGGAAAGCCTGGAGAACTCCAGAGAGCGCRGGCAGGTCTGCACCATGCCAAGGATCTCACTGTTGTTGGTAGGCTGGAGCCATCTCAYTTTTTTGCTTCTTTATTATTATTTMATATTTTTAAAAACCTCTTTTTATTTCCAAAGTTATTTATGCTGCTGTATATGCTTTAAAAACTGCACAAYACCTCTGACCCATTTGCAGAAGATCTTCAAAACCTTTTGCCTAAAATCTCTGCTTCCAGACAATGAGTACAGGTGGAAGACGTGTGGAARTGGGGCAGGTTTAGACCTATCCGGTGTTCATTGCAATTCTTTTCTGGCATTTCTTTTTGTGTTAAGAGTCTGGAAAGCCCAAAGTTCTTAGAATTCCTGGAAACTAAGGTTTTGAATGTCCATAGTTTTCACCAAATTGACAGGTACACATGAAGCCTTGAATGCAGAAATAACCAACGCAGGGGTGTTACATAYCTGGGAGCCGGTGCAGCTGGGACAGATTCTACTGTTCAGAATGTGTTCCTCAAAGGTCCACATGTTAAAGGCTTGGTCCCCACCCATGATACTGGTGGATGGRACCTTTAGGAGATAGGGCCTACTTGCAAGTTTCTGGTTATAGGGGGTACACCCTTGAAGGGGATATTGGGACCCTGGCTGTTCTACTTTCTCTTTCTTTGCTTCTTGGCTGCCATGAGATAAACAGCTTCCTCTGTCACAATCTTACCATGATGTACTGCTCACCACAAGCCTCAAAGCAATAGGCTATGTACTGAAACCTCCAATACTRTGAACCAAAATAAACCTTTCCTCTTTTTAAGTCGATTACCTCAGGTATTTTGTTATAGTAATGAAAAAGTGACTAACATCTATGTAACTGTATTTCTATAATTCTGCATTCAATATAGGAGATTTAAGTTAAAGACTTATGTTTTTATGTTTTTTCACTAACCAAGGTTAAAAACTGCTGCTCCAGAATGACAGACATATGATCCCAAACTAGCATTTGATACTCCTTAGGATGAAGAAGAAAATTTGGTTAAAAATCAGATTTTTTTTAGAGAAATGATTTACTGTATTTCCTGACAACCAGAAGTTTCAAAACACTTTTTTTTTTTTAAACTATAAGATTAAATAACCCTCTTCCTAAACCTACTTCTCCCCATATACTCACCATGTTTTGGGCTGAGAATGGGAAATGGATCTCCCAGTTTCCAGAAGAAATACATAAAGGTCAACCATAAGAGACAGGAAAAAAGCAGTCTCTGTTTCTGCACTAAGACAGAAGAGAGAAGACTGTGAGGGAAAGCATGTTAAAGAGCTTGCTCTACCTAAAACTATGAGTATGTGTATTAATCTGGTCAATGAACGGTGGAAYTATACAATTTTTAATGAAAGCATCCTTACCCAACATAAGAGAAACTTGGATGAAATTAAACAGTGGACTGAGTTAAAAGAGACATTGTAGTAGAAGTGGGAATAAARTTGTGGCAGAACAAATAACCCAATCATTCATTTCATATTCATTATGGAACCATTTTAGGACATTGTGAAGTGCCCTCAAATAGCAGCAGTTATGAAAGTAACGTAGAATTAAAGCTGTCTATATCTCCAATCCCCAAGAACACCCAATCTCTGTGCTGACATTAGGAAGGGAAATACTTACGCAGTCGGATGTTGCTCACAATAGAATAGCCAATGTAAAAAGGCACCATGAAAACCAGGATCAGCAGAATTATACACAGGTTCATTTTCCAGTGAAAATAACGGGAGCTGAAATAAATGTCAAAGATTGTCACTGGGGGAGGGGGTGTGGGGAGGGTAGCAGCTTTCACGTTCTTTAGTCTTCCAAGCATGCCTGGCTCTTTAAAGTCAACACTGAACATGTTCCATCTAATTCACCAACTATGCTATTATTATCTACTCGCTGGTAGAGATTAAAAAATATAAATTTCTAGAAGGTATATATGATCATCTTAACCTAAAAATTTCACTAAATGTTAGTACTTTAGTTATATTCATAAGCAATGTATAATAACATTTATCAACATATTCCATTCCTAGTAGTATGAGTTATTTCATCCACTACTAGGAATCTTATTGCAATATAAGAATTAAAGGGAAACAAGGTTAATAGTAATGCATGCCATATAGACTCAAGCATGTCTTTCATACTCAATGTGAACATCTGATTTGCTTTATACTCTTTATAAAATATAAGCCAGGCACAGTGGCACATGCCTTAAGTCCAGTGCCTCAGGAGGCTGAGACAGGAAGATCATGAGTTCAAATCCAGCCTCAACAAAAGCAAGCCCCTAAKCACTCAGTGAGACCCTGTCTCTAAATAAAATACAATAGGGCTGGGGGTGTGACTCAGTGCCTGAGTGCCCCTGAGATAAATCCCTGTTACTGCTCCCCCCATATATATAATTTATTTAAAAAGTTTAGTTCTTTTGCTTTGTATAATGGATTTATCGAGATATAATTCACCTATTTAAAGTGTAAAATTCAATGATCTTTAACATATTCACAAGTCAGTGCAACTACCACATTGATTCTAGAACATTTTCATTACTCCCTAAAGAAACCCTGTACCTGTTACCACTTTCTAATTCCCCTCCTTCAATCTTCCCAATTCTAGGAAACCAAAGTATTTCTGTTTCTATGGACTGGCCTACTCTGGACATGTCATGTGAATGGCATCTCATAATTCGTGATCTTTTATGACTAGCTTCTTTCACTTAGCATAATGTTTGCAAGGTTCATCCATGTTGTAGCATGTATTAAAAGTTCATTTCTTTTTAATAAATTTTGAATATTCACCCTGTTGTTTATCCATTCATTAGTTTTTGGATAACTGGACTGCTTCACAATTCAGTTACCATAGGTAGCGATGCTATGAGCATTTTCGTAGTTTTAGTGAGACTGTGTATTTCTATTTCTCTTTAGGCAGAACTGGAAGAGACCTGCTGGGCCAAAAGGGGTATCTACACTCAACCCTGGGAGGCACGACCATGTTCCCCAGCAGTGTGTGAGGGTTCTGATTCCTGCTCRGCCCCACCAACACCGGTCCCATCACCGCGGCTTTGCTGCGTCCCCTGGTGGTCATGACGCAGAGCTCCTTTTCCTCTGCTTCTCCGCCTCTACATTATCACCTTTGGAGAGCTGCCCTTCAGGTWCTTTGTCCATTTTTTAGATTTTATTTTTTAAACTATTAAACTGTAAGGGTTATGTATACATCCTAGGTAACGATCCCTCGCCAGAAGATTTGCAAAAATTTCCTTCTATTGTTGGGACTTCTGTTCACTTCTTGATAGCGTCCTTTGCATTTACTGATTTTAAACTTAGGTAGGCCTGGTTTCAAAAACTGGCTGAGCAGCTAAGTGGCTTAAAAGGATATATAAAATACAGGTGAGAAGTAACCTGTAAGGAAATAGGAAAGAGAGCAACAACAATGGCAAAAGATAGGTAAAATATCAGACCAGGCCTAATGGCTTTTGTGAAATAGGTTTAGAAACTTGCTGTGAGTGGCCACAACTTTAGTTTTCAGTTTTCTAATGGTCAATATGAAATAGAAAATTTGATTAGTTAGATAAAATCATGTGTCTGTAAAAAAATAAACCAATGTCTCCAAGGAAGCATAATTATTACCGACTTATTATTACTGGATTATTACCAAGACAAAAATGAAACTTCTCTAATGATTTCATAAGGAAGAAAATGTGAGATCCATCTGCAATACCTTGAACAATATTCTTTCAAGAGAAACATCAGTGTGTTGCAGAGGACTGTTTCTTACTATTTCCCCCTTAGTACCAATGACAGAACCTTACAACAAAGAGCCATTCAGTAAAGGCTACCCTACGGGAGCAAAATCCAGTTCTCTAAATAATAGACAGCCCTTTACTCATCTGGATCAGCCCAGTTTAGAGCATCTAGAGAGGCAAACAAGCTGCACATGCCCCARGCAATCCCATAAAATGTTTCAGCTAAGTTCTGAAATATTCTGTGAGACAATGGGTTTGAAACTACAGGTGTTGTTCCAAGTGTAACACATGTTTTAACTAGTATTTTGGGCTGAGTTTAAAATGATGGTTTCTTGAGAAATGAAGGATCCTAACAAGATTTTTATATTTGAATAGGAGGCCATACACCCAACTTCAACACTCTTAGGGCCCAGATTCTCTTTTACACACACACACACACACACACACACACACACACACACACACACACGTATTAGTTGTAGATGGACACAACACCTTTATTTCACTTATTCACTTTTATATGGTGCTGAAGAATGAAGCCAGTATCTCACACATGCTAGGCAAGCGCTCCACCACTGAGCCACAACCCCAGCCCCACAGATTCTCTTTTAACACTATGCTGAATCCAGTCACTATTCAGATATAATACATTTCTGTTCCACAGTTGAGCCAAATGTTAGCATGACTACGGACATGTCTCAGCCTAAACAAATCAAATCTCTCCCTCAAATACCTAAAGAACCAGATTTTAGCAATGCTATTCTCTATATTCTTTCAGATAAATTATTTCAGAAATTTGAAAAAATACACCAAATATATAGTTTCCTATTATACAGGATTATTGATTATGAATTAAAAGCTGAGAGAAATCATCTACCAAAAACAATAACTATGGTTTTAGATTATGTGAGTCATAAGTCTATATTTATTTTTTTGTGTTGCTGGGGGTTGAACCCAGGGCCTTGCGCATGCGAGAGAGCCACTCTACCAGCTGAGCTACATCCCAGCCCCCATAATCCTTTTATCAATATTTAGATGAGTGGTTAGCAAACTATGTCCTGGCAGCTACCTATTCTTAAAAGTGAAACCTTACTGGAGTACAGCCACGCCCACTTGTTCTTGTATTGCTTATGGTTCCTTCTGATTTACAACAGCAGAGTTCAGTAATTGTGATAGAAACCCTTTGGCCCACAATGCGAACCTGTTTAAATAACAGAGAAACACTTAGGTTGTGAGAATAAAATATAATAACCAGCAGGTAAAATAATATTTGCCTATTCTCCACAGTCACTGGATCTATATCCAGCTTACTCCCCAAAAGTTTGGATCATTAAAGAACAAGTTTAAAAGTACAAGAGTAAAAGTAAATTTCTGTTTAATCGTACTACAGCTTATTAAATGATCTATYAGGAGCAACTTTATTTTTTTTAACCTTTCAATATTTTATGTTTAAGCATCTCTATTTTATGTCTTCAATTTTTTTTTCAACTCTGATTCTTAAAAAATAATTTGAGAGTAAAGTCTCTCTATAAGTCTCAAGTATCAGCAGCCTATAATGAATTTATACAGCTTAGCTTGGCATGGATTCCTGACTATGAGTGAAATGCCACTTTATTCCTAAAAGATCTTTTCATRTGGTAATAAAAAAGTACAACAAAAGTCAACATAGCAAATTTGATAAATGCCATATACAGATGATGGTCTAAAAAATTCTTAAGCTTGCAATTTGACATAAAAGAAATATTTTGGAAAAACTGTCTAATAGGTTTGTTATTTGGCAGGGAGTAAAGAGTTACTTTTAAAAAATGTTTTTAAAAACATTCTAAGTAGGGGTTGTAGCTCAGTGGCAGAGCACTTGCCTAGCATGTGTTCAATCCTTAGCACCACATACAAATTAATAAATAAATAAAATAAAGACGTTTTGTCTAAAAAAAAAAAAAACAAAACACTAAGTTCAATCAAACTTGATCATGCCTGTAAAATAAAAAAAGATAACTGAGACAATAAATTCATTTTCAGAAAGGTCCTTAAATAACTCTGAAAAATCCACATGGTAGATTTTTTTTTTTTTAATTAAGATTCAGATTACTTTTACATGGTAAAGAGTGGAGCACAGTGTTTCTCAAGAGGCAAGTTATTTAGTATTCTTACTCACCTGCTATTCAGCACTCCTAAGATTTCAAAGATGATCAGCTCAAACATGGTGCAAGAAAATGCAAAAGTCACAGAGAAGATCACCTGCACAACATATTGACGCACCTGTTAAAAGCCAAAAAGAGATAGAAGTTGATTACTTCCTGGCTTGAGATTTTGAACTGATAATCTCCTGGAGGCAAGTCAGAAATCTTATTTTTAGAAATTCTCAAGTCATTGGAGACAGATGACCAACATCCACTTGTGGTTGGGGAATTTAAAGCATGAGAAGATGAAGTGCCAGGGTCAGAAGTAGCATTTAGAAATCCTAATGCACACTGACCCCCCCCCCCCAAAAAAAAAGAGCTATAAATCTTGATAAGATGTTCAACACAACAACAGTTTTTCAACGCTCTGCAGATCTCAGATCAGTTCTGGAACCTCCATTGGGAGGCCTGACAGTACTGGGCAGAAGAGAACCTTCAGAACTTTGGGCTCTGACAACTACCAACCCCCCTGGAGAGGTTTAATGGAGAACATTCTACAATGACAGAAAGGCAGTTCAGTACCACTAATTTATTACAAAATAAGGAAGATTAATTAGAAGATATCCATTCTAGGGTGGTGATTTTGTGACTCCAAGGCTTTGTGAGAACCAGACCAACTTCTGAATTCTGGTAGTAGTTTCAAATGTAAGATYGGTGATTCAGGGCTAGACAGGCAGAGGAAAGGGAACCTTTATGAGACACTGTGAGAATAACTGCCACTGGCATATCTCCTGATGCAACTACAGCATGGCATCCTCGCTCCCGTGACCTGGCTTTATATTTTATTTTTTAAATCTAAGCCTGATCATATTCTGCAGTTTCACTGTCGGAATAATTTTCATTTGGCAAAAAGCTTCCTATTTTGGAGGTGAACATGATCTTTAACAGAGGCATTTTTCTTACTTTATTTTTAAACAATGTAAACTCACACGCAGTRTAAGCATAACATAATGTTTTCTTCTTACCTCGTAGTCCTTAAACAATTGACGCATGAAGAAAAGCCACCCAAATCCAAAAAACAGTATCTATAGGAGAAAAAAGACAGAATGTCAATATTTATCTTCTTTTGAGAAATGCTTCAAAGAGAATACATCTAAATTATTTCACAGATTAAAGATGAGATCCACTCACAACACTGGAAAGAGATGTTTAGATGCTCTTAGATTTCTGAGATTATCCATGCTATAGAATGTGTTATAAATTAGACAAAAATGGAAGTACTTATATATTTTCCCATAGTCTTGTGATAGCCAGGGATGTTAGCAAACAGACAGGACTCAGTGGAACTTGTTTCTAATAGATGATCCTTGTTTGCAAGTATTAAAAACCTCAGTGGAAAGGAGTTGAGACAAAAATAGAGTAGAAGCTGGGTGTGGTGGCACATGCCTGTAATCCCAGCAGCTCAGTAGGCTGAGGCAGGAGGATCGATAATTCAAAGCCAGCCTTGGCAATGATGAGGTGCTAAGCAACTCAGTGAGACCCTGTCTCTAAATAAAAGACAAAATAGGGCTGGGGATGTGGCTCAGTGGTCGAGTGCCCCTGAGTTCAATCCCTGGTACCATAAAAAAAAAAAAAAAAAAAATAGTAGAAAGACAAATACTTTTTATGTGTGTTTCCTTCAGAGAGCTTTCTTAGCTTCCCCCTCATCCTGCTCAAACTACAAAGAGTGTTTCCACCTTGGTATAAAGCTGGGGTTGTAGAATCCCACTTTCGTCAGTTTTGATCCAAACCKGCAGAGACAATCATCACACATCAGCTGACAAAGCTGGCTTGCTTTTCACTACTAAATAGAGCCATCACACATTCTGACACAATTCCTCTCTTCTTCTTATGTTTGTCAAAAACTTTATGAATGACCCCTGGTTCTGTAGATTCTGCCTGATGAAACCTCTGCTGTTCTCTGATAGGAACTTCCCTCCAGCCCTCACCCACTTGTAATCCTACAGGTCTCAACAAACATATTATTCCTCATGGAAGGACTTCTTTTTCCCATGAAAAAAGAGAAATTGCTCTTTTTATAAAATCCTATTGCACCCTGTACTTGCCTCATCAAAGCACCAGCCACAGAGTTTTATAATGTCTAATTATAATGACTTTATTATAAGCTCTGTGAGGACAAGGACCATGTCTGTCTTGTTGATGTTTGTATTCGCAGCACCCTGTATAATGCCCGCACCCAAGTGTGTGCTGGGTGGCTAAATRGTCCAGTCAAAGATGGCTGCTTTTCAGCAAAAACCCAATCTTGAAAATTTTGCAGATTTCTACATGTGCTATACTAAGTGTTGGGAACCCAAAGATGAGTAACATAGTGTCACCCTCCAGAAGCTCACTCTATCATGGGAAAGACATCAAATAAATAATTACAATGTAATATGGATGTGCAAGGACAGAGATGTGTACATGATCCTGAAGAAACAATGAGGGAGACCAAACCAATCTGTATGTAAGACTTTCAAAGAAGATAATACCTGAGCTGAGGGAGGTTATAATTTAGGGTTAAAACTTGATATTGTGTGCAAATTTGGGGATTAGGAACATTTTTCTACAGTTTCCCAGGTATATTTACCACATACTCAAAGGTTTCCTAGGCCCTAAAATACTGAAAATCATTCTCTTAAAGGATGACTAAGAATCAGGCAGGAAAAAACAGAGGTGGTAAGGGCAGGGGGACGGGGCTTCCAGACAGCAAGACCATTCCTAAAGGCATGGAGCACCAGCCCTGGGATATGCTGGCAACCCCTGCCCAGTGCTGCTGGGAGACATCATTCACAGGAGGGAGGGCTCGGGTAGCTCACCGTGCAGTGCTGTCCAGCGCGCTCAGGGCCCTGGGTTCAATTCCTTCAAAATAAATAAAATAAACAGCAACCAAGGGGGGAAAAGAAAAGAAACAAGGAAAGTGGTTAAAAATGAGGCTGGATCTTGAAAACTGTGAGGAAGTTGCAACTAAAGAATTAAATGGTATAAATACACTTTTCTCAAACCCTTTGAGCGGCAAAGGGAAGAAAAAAAAATGAGGCTGGAGAGGAGAAACMGAGGCCCAATCTCTGAGAGTCCTAAAGGCCACCCCAATGAGCTTGAGTCTATAAATGGTGAGGGCCATTTTTTTTTTKKKGGGGGGGATATTTGAATGCTTCAACAGCTTTATTCACAATTATAAAAGCTAGAAACAATCTAAATGCCTTTAAATCGATGAAAGCATTAAAAAATATGATAACAGAATAGTACTTAGCAATAAAAATAACCAAACATGTAGAATCTGAAAGTATTAGTCTAATTAACATAAAAAACAGGACTCAAGTGAGGGTCATTTAAGCAGAAGTCGACAAGGCTCTTTTGTGGTTTACCCCAGAACACGACAGTAGCAGCAAAAGAACCAACTCTAGGAAAAGAAACCTAGGAGGTTGTTATCTCTTCTCTTCAGACAGATGATAAAGGCCTGAATTAAGACTTTGGTGAAAGAGGAGGAAGCAACAGATTTGAGAGCTATTAGAAGGTAAGCAGCAGGAAAGAGTCAAGAAGGACTAGTTTAGAACATAGGATGAAGAATAAGCCACCTCTGTTGTAAGAAGAGTGGAAGAGGAGGTTTGGCAATGGGACGGGAGGATGGAGAAGATGAGTATATTTTAGACATGCCAAGGGCCAGACGGCCTCTCTGGCCAAGATGCCCAGCATTTGAGTAAGAGATTACAAAGGCAGGACTGAGATTTACCTCTATGTTGAAACCACCCAGTGGGATTCTCCAGGATGGAACGCACAGCGCGAGGAGAGTGAGGTGCGGGGAGAGACAAGGAGGGGACAGAGGAGGACTGTCAGAGACAACAGAACCAGGGAAGGGTGTCCTGAAGCCACGGCCCAGGCTGAGCGCAGAGCTACGCGCCACAGAGAGGGAGAATGAAGCCAGGAAGGGAAACGTTCAAGGGCGGGCATGGCTCAGTGCAGAGCACTTGATTAGCAGCACAAGGCCCCCCGTTCAATCCTCAGCACAAAAACCAACCAACCAACCAACCAACAACCAGGCCTTTGTAATTTGCTCAATGATGACCTGAAGAAAAACAGATTGAACAGGGAGGTAGAGGGAGACCCAGCACATGGTGGGCTGAGGGTAAATGGGGGTAAAGGCAGGTGGAGACAATGAATGGCTTTAAGGAGAGCCAAGGAAGAGAAGGAGACATTGGACAGCATCCTGGAGAAGGGGGTAAGGGAAGGCTTCCTGCACAGGGAAGAAAGCAGAGGAGGGGCAGACCAACACGGGAGGAGCCGATATGATGAACTGTTATCACTAGCAGCTCCCCTTCACGGATCATTCACTTTATTCCAGGTTATGCACTACAGCATTATAATCTCAAATTTTAAAAAATCACAAAAACTCAGTGAGGTAGGTTTGACTGTCCTATTTTTGGAAAGAAAGCTGAAATTTAGAGAAGTTAAAATGAATATAAGAATTAGGGTTCAAACTGGAGTCTGAGTGACCCACTCCAAAACCCATGCTTTTAACCACTTCACAACAGGCGACTCCAGATCAAAGGCACAGGCTGAATGCGGCCTGTATAGGGGCAGGAGACACCTTGTGTTCTGACGGGGTGGGGTGGGGTGAGGGGTGAAAATGACTGTATTGGATAATCTCTTAAATTAAAATGCAGGAAGTAAAAGGAGATCAGTCTTTTGGTCACTGTTGACTACGCAGGAGGCAAGAACATCTGCTACCAGGTGAGCGTGGAGAACAGGGGCTTTGAGGAAAGTGATAAAGACCCAGARAACTCATAAGGGGTGGAACAAACAACTAGTCATGAAAGCGAATGAGTCAATAAGGTGAGGGTTAAGCTTGTGGCATCGGCAACCTGGACACTGTACATGATTTTCTACAGCAGCCTTCAGGCCCCTGTATCAATAGTGTACAAGCTAAACAGTGATCCAAATGTGGACTTTCGTAGGAAGGTAAAGGAAAAGGAGAGCACAAGAAGGTAACTTGGGATCCATTGATCCAGACTAAGTAGCAAAGGAGAGAAGCAAAGAGATTAGAAGAAAAAAATTCTAGACTATCTAGGAGGCCCGCTGGCCAGTGTGACATTAAATTCAGAGTTTAGAGGTCATGATTATATGATACATGAAGGCATGATTGAAGGTGGAGAAGTTTAGTAATTAGGGCTAGGAGTGGTGTGCAGGTGGATAAAAAAAAATCAACGAGATCATTCTAAAATGGAACTTTAGATAAGGAAAACAAGCAAAAATTATAAATTTGTATGATGAGATGGGGAACAGAACTAAATATACACTTTTCATGTTTTATTGTGTGCTCCTTTCCCACTGACAGAGAAAGTTTACAAAGACTTTTAAACTACACACACAGTAATTGGAGTTGAGCACAGTGGAGTGTGCCTCACCTTTAGTCCCAGCTACTCACAGGGCTGAGTCAGGAGGAGTGCTTGAGCCTCTGAGTTTGAGGCCAATCTTGGCAACAGAGTGAGACCCTGTTTCTTTCAGAAAGAAAGGGGGGAGAAAAAAAAAAAGAGGACCTGGATAATTTATTACATCCAAGGTGCATCATGTGAATTCTGGCAAGATTATAGGGGACCCAAGAAGTATGCAGAAGGAAAAGACAATCTCAAAAAGCTTGCAAATAAAATGGAAAGTGCACAGATTAAAAAAAATACTTTGAGACTTGTACAGAGGAGAGCCTTAACCTTGGGACTTAGAGTGTGCTCTGCAACTGATAAGGTTTATGACTGTAAGAGGGTTCAAAACAGGTAAGTTTATAAAAATGACCTCTAGCTTAAAAATTATCTATAAACAGAAAAGATGGCCATTAGTAAGATACTTATTAAGGAACCAGCTGGAAAAGACACCTTTCTTGAATCATTTGTAGATTCAATATTTTTTTCATTTAATATGTATCATATTGATTATTTATGCCAGATCCTGGGACAGAATGGTGAACAAGAAAGCCTGGCTGCTGCTCTTGGGGTCCATAGTCTATGGAGGAGGTGAACAAGCGSTCACCATGTGGCAGCACTGATGGAAGGGAAGCAGGTCAAGGACATCATGGTAACCCATACGGGGACACCTACCGAATCCAGCCTTGGATGTCCAAACAGATCTGAAGACTGAACAGAAGTAAGCCAGGAGTAAGAGGGGAGGGATATGGGGCAGATCCAGAAAGGCAGAAGAGACTGTGTGGAAACCTGGGGCACGACAGACCGTTCAGGTTATGGAAAGCCGGGCAGCTGGGGCACACATGTAATCCCGGCAGGTCGGGAGGCYGAGGCAGGAGGATGGCAAGTTCAAAGCCAGTCTCAGCAACTTAAAATGGAACATAAAAAAGGGATGGGGACATGGGATATGGCTTGGTAGAAAAGTGCCCTGGGTTCAACTGTTGGCAAGATAAAGTAGTTTAGGAAGTAGAGCATGAAGTGAAGAGCCACGCTGAAGAGCTAAATGCCATGGCCCCAACAAAAGGGACACTATAAGCCATATTGAGGAGTTTAAATTTCATCTTGTGGCATGGCGAACAATTTCAACAGTAAGACTCTGCTTGAGGCTTACAAGCTGATGTGACCTCTGATTTCAGATTTCATTTCAAATAAACCTTTCAATTCATACAAACAGGAAAAAAATGGGGGGAGGGTTTCTTCCAAGGTAACCGAATCTCTCTAGAAAGGTGCTTTTTATTATATTGATACTTACCAGGCCCTGTTATTCCAGCAAATGACCTGGGTACTATGGAATACCAGAGAGAACAAGAGAGATAATACCTTGGACTTTGTGAGTCCACAGATAAAATCACAAATGAACAACAGTGAAAAAGAGAAGAAAATAAAGTGGAAATGAGGAAGAAGGTGTCCAGAATGAAGCCTACGTTGGTTGGGAGTAGGGGTCAGGCAAAAAGTGCCCCTGAGGGGGCTGCCGCTGCCACCCAGCGGTCCACTGCCAGAGTGTCTGGAGGTGGGGTTGCATGTGGCCACCTCCCTCCTGGGACACAGTCCAGGGCCTGCAGGACCAGTGTTGGGGTGCCTGAGGGTTTGGCTGACCTAAGGTCTACCTGCGGCTTCTTCCTAGAGTTACTCCTTTGTGTGAGTGCATCCCTGTGGCTTCTCTGCAAGCTGGAAGGCACTGAGACCTTGGGAACTGTGACAAGCCCAGATCTGTCAGAGAGCGACAGGGTCTGCATGGCCAGCCTGGGTCAGGCAATCCTGTGAAAAGTCAGGCTGGGAGCACTCCGCCTGGGGAAGCACAGGTTGGAGAGAGTGGAGAGAGCTGGGCGCTCCCAGCTCCGCCATCCCAGAAGGGTGCCACTGAGCTACTGTTCCTGCCCCTAAACAATACTCTACTGAATGATGAATGGACAGCAGAAGAAATCATGGATGAGATAAAAAAAATACTCAGAGGTAAGTGAGAATACCAATATAATATGTMGAAATCTCTGGGGCACTATGAAGGCAGTACTAAGAGGAAAGGTCATTGCATTGAGCTCATTTGTTAAAAGAATAAAAAGTCTGGCTGGGGCTGTAACTCAGTGGTAGAGAAAGTACTCAGCACATGTGAGGATCTGGGTTTGATCCTCAGCAYCACATAAAAAATAAATAAATAAAATATTGTGTCCATCTACAACCAAAAATATGTTTAAAAAAAGAATAAAAAGTTAATGACTAAATGACCTAACATGATATCTCAAAACCCCAGAAAAACAGGAATAAATCAACACCAAAAGCAGAAGAGAGGAAATAATTAAATTCAGAGGTGAAATCAATGAAACTGAAAGAAACAATTCAAAAAACTGACAAAACAAAAAGCTGGTTCTTTGAAAAAATAAATAAAATTGATAAACCCACAGCCATGCTAATGAAGAGAAAACCCAATAAAATATGTGATGAAAAAGGCAATGTCATGATAGACACTACTGAAACACAGGAGATAATTAGAAACTATTTTGAAAATTTAATAGAAAAGTTTGAAGATATTGACAAATTTCTAGAGACATAYGACCTACCCAAACTGAACCAGGTGGACATACATGATTTCAACCGATCCATTTCACGCAAGGAACAGAAGACAGCATCAAAAGCCTACCAACCAAGAAAAGCCCAGAACCACATGGATTCTCAGCCAGTTCTATAAGACCTTCAAAGAAGAATCAACACCAATATTCCTCCAAGGAGGGAACCCTTCCAAACTCATTCTATATGGCTAATGTCACCCTGATACCAAATCCAAACAAATACACATCAAAGAAAGAAAACTTCAGACCAACATCCCTGATGAACAGATGCAATAATTCTTAATAAAATTCTGGCAAATCGCATACAAAAACATATTAAAAAGATAGTGCACCTCGATCCAGTGGGGTTCATCCCAGGGATGCAAGTTTAATGCAACATATGGAAATCAATAAACGTTGTTTGAAACAGGGTCTGTCGCTAAGTGGCGAATTTGGAATCCTCCTGCCTCAGCCTCCTGAGTCACTGGGATTCTAGGCCTGTGCCACTGTGCCTGACTCATTTCATATTCTTTTTTTTCCCCTTGTTGATATTGGGGATAGAACCCAGGGGCATTCGACCACTGARCCACATCCSCAGCCCTATTTTGTATTTTTTTTAGAGACAGGGTCTCACTGAGTTGTTTAGCACCTCGCTTTTGCTGAGGCTGGCTTTGAACCTGCGATCCTCCAGTCTCAGCCTCCCAAACCGCTGGGATCACAGGCGTGAGCTCSTATGTTCTTAGCACTGCTCATTTTTTTTTTTTTTTTGAAGAGACAAGGATGACATTCTACAGACAGGAGCACGATGATGAGGAGATAAAAAAAATATCAAACACATTTTTAATGTCACTTTAAGCACTCAAACGGAAATGTTTCTGCCATTTGAAAAAAAATTTCAGAAAAAACACTTCAAAACTATTTGAAAAAATAGGAGATAAAAGTGAACGGCCAGGGGGCTGGGGATGTGGCTCAAGCGGTAGCGCGCTCGCCTGGCATGCGTGCGGCCCGGGTTCGATCCTCAGCTCCACATACCAACAAAGATGTTGTGTCCGCCGAGAACTAAAAAATGAATATTTAAAAAAAAAAAAGTGAACGGCCAGAAGTCAGATCTACAGATGGTGTGAGTGCAAGCCCCTGGAGAAGGGCCTGCAGTCACGGGCCAGACGGGCTCTCTAGAGATAAAGGGGCAAGTGCTGAAGGAAGCCTGCACTGTGTGGTCGGCGTAGGAAGGMACACCGAGCACCGCACGCGCCGCCTAAAGCCAGCGGCTCCGAGCTGCGGGCTGCAGCCCCCGCCGACGCACCTCCGGGGCCTGCGGCGGAACCCGGCCGCGTGCTCTGAGCCCCGCGCAGCCCTCCGCACGCGGGCCCGGCCGGACGCCAACGGCACCCGGCCCCGCGCTCCAGCGGCTGCCCTTGGGGGTGGCCGGAGAGCGGGGCGCCCGGGCCGGCGAGCCCGCCCCGGCCCGTGAGAGGGCCCTCCACTGCCCGCACCGACGGCGAAGAGGAAGGGCCCGCGGCCAGCTGGCCGCGCTCACCCCCGGGGGCACTCCGCCCAGGAGGCCGAGGCGCCGGGCGGGGTGCAGACCCACCTGCGAGGTGATCATGATGCTGGAGTCTATCAGGAAACTCATGGCAGACGTCAGGAGCGTTCATGTTTCCACCTCCCACWCCCCAGGGCACGACCGCTCGGGCCGCCGGCCCACTAACGCCGCTGGCCTTCGCCCGGAGGCCGCCGCGGGGACTGCGGCGCTCCGGCCCGACGCCATCCAGCTGCGCCGCAGCCGACCAATCAGCTTCCGTATCTCGTGCCTTCCGCCTCAGGTCGAGTGGGCGGAGCGGGCGCGACGCCCAGGGGCGGGGCTGAGCCGGGAGGGCCGGCGGAGGGCGGGGCTGGACGGGGGCGGGACTTCCAGGGTGGGGCTGAAGTGGGGTGGCCGGCCGAGGGGGCGGGGCTTAACTGGGTGGCTGGGCCCCAGGGGGCGAGTTCTAGGGTGGGCTGAACAACGGAAGGCGGGGCCTGTTTTAAATGCTCATTCTCTTCAACATCGTGTCCTGACTAGTGCGACGAGATGCCCGGCCTTGCAAAATCGACCCATCAATGCGTGCCTCCTTGCCGTGACTCAGGCCCGAGTACAGCCTGGGGTTCTAAATGCTATGAGGGAAGAATGGACAGGCACGCGAGAGGTTTAGGGCCTGCAGCGAACCCGGGAAGCACCTGCTGGGTCCTCGGAACAGCGCCCTCTGTATCAGGGAGGGGTGACCTCGGGTTCTCAGCACCACTGCGGGAGTCTGCGCTCTGGTGTCCCCCTGGCAAGAGATCCAGGTGGGTGAGCTAGGAGGGGAGCGCTGGCCCTGGTGCTATGGCCAGCACCTCCAAGAGCGTGCTCCCAGGGGAGCTGCGGTGAGCTGCCAAGTGAGAAGGGAGGGGATTGAAGACAGCTGTCTCCAGGAGAAGAGTAGAATCCACGTGGCCTCAAGAGAGCGTTGTAAGGCTAAGAACTGGAAGTTAATGAAGACTTAGATGAAAAACAAGAAACAATTCCTTGGGAATCGAGTATGGAACACCCTTAACGTCCACCCTATGACAGTGTTTCAAATATGGACTGACTTACCACTTTATTAATTCAGTACTCATTTCGTGAAGGCTTACTGCACTGCCCTGCAGTCTATATCCGCCCCAGAGCCCTAGCTAGTGCGTGTCGTCCCTGTTGTCTTACTGTCTCAGAAACTGTCCAGCCCAGGCTGCCATCAAGACCTGCAAGGGCCTCAAGGGATCCCTGGTATCCAGAATCTGGTTATTCAGATCTGCTATAATCGGAATACCCGAGAATAACATTCATTACACATAAGGGAAGGTGTTTCTTTTTCTTTGAATTGAGTTTTACCCTATCAAGCAGCCAAAATTTCTATCAGATGTCCAGTCCCTGGTCCAGAACACAAGGGAGCTATGGAGGCAACCTTACTATGGAGTGTCTTAAACCAGAGAACTTTGTGTTTCTGGCTACACCTAGTAGGAAACCCTACACAGCTGCACCTTATTAACATTCAAGGTTGCGTGATAGTGCAGAATACTGGGAGAGCCTATTAAATATAATTTTGCAGAATTACTTTGACCCATATAATCTGTGAACAAAGGGGAAGACTATATAGAAATGAAATTTCAGATTGAATATGTAAGTTGAAGTTCATAAATAAAATTTATGATGTGCATGTTCTTACCATAAGAATTGTTCTAAATATTGAGTCACCTGTCCTCTACACCTGGGTAGGGCAGAAAACTCTGTCTCCTACAACTTCCTGTTTTAGGACTAACCTTTCCCTAGAATGACTAATGACAGGGGCATTCATTCATTTTAGAGAAATCCCCAACTGAATCACTGGGCTGTGATCACGATTTTGGTAAGACAATCACAAAGGAGTGTAAAGCTAGCATGTTTCAAAGTCTGAGATATCCCTTCTTATTTGTTACCCTGATACATGCACACACATACACTTCTGCATTTTCCCCAAAATGCACGACAATAAATTTAGTGGACTGAATATTTGGGTCCCCCCAAATTCATTTGTTGAAACACTAATCCTCAATGTGATGGCTTGGAGGTGGGGCCCTTGTGACATAATTAGATGTAGATGAAGTCATGAAAGTAAAGCCCCCAAGATGGGATGAGTGCCCTTGTAATGAGATAAAGGGACCAGAGTTCACCCTTTCTTTGCCATGTGAGAATAGTGAGAGGCTGTCATCTATGAGCTAGGAGGAAGACCCTCACCAAGAATTAGCAGGCTGGCGCCATGATTTGGACATACAACTTCCAGAGCTATGAGAAATAACCACCTAGTGTAAGGTTTTTTGTCATGTTAATTTAACTAGGATGATGGGTATAATATTTTGTTATATATCTTCACTTGGAAGTATATCGTGATCACTTTCTCATGATAAAGACTATAACACTTTCATTAACTCAATAATATTGCATCGTATGATTTAACCAACCTACTTTCTGGGGCTTCTTTTTTGTGCGTTGTTTGCTATAGTAAAATAATATGGCATAGAATGTGATCCAAAAGTCACACTTCTCCAAACAGTTTTCTCCATCACGTTGGGGATTAGGGTTTCAACATAGTCCTTTCACTGTGTCTATGTCCCAGAAAATTCCGAGCCACACATCAAGCTCCTCCAAGCGTGGCTCCCAGGGCAGCCGAGCTGGGCCTGCAGACAGCTGCGGTCTGGTAGGCAGCTAATGGCTTGTGGGGAAGCCGTCGGTCTTCCCTGTTAATGCAGAAAATTCAAGAGTCTTCCTGGAGCCCCTCACACTAGGGGAGGAGGCAGGGGGTGCAGAAGGGGACACCACAAGGCTTTCTTCTCCCCTGACAACTCTCTTCAGAGAGTGCCCCTCTCAATTAAAACTTATCCTTCTTTTAAATACCCTAGGCATGTACTATGGATATGAGGTGTCCCCGCAAAACTCCGGTGTGAATGCAGGAATATTCAGAGGTGAAATAGATTAAATGAATGGATTGTGAGAGCTGTGACCTAATCAGTCCATCTTCATTTGGATGTTAACTGGGTGGTGACTGTAGGCAGGGGGGCCTGGCTGGAGGAGTTGGGCCCCTTCCCTGTACCCCCACCCCCTTCATAATTTAGAAGACATACATTTTATTTTAATATCACACACACACACACACATGGTTTTTCTTTTTTAAGAACATTTTTATTTTTAGTTGCACATGACAGTAGAATGTATTTTGGCAGAAGATACCTGCATAAAGCATGACTTATGCAGTTAGGTCCCCACTCGCGGGGTCGTACCTGATGCCGAGTTACCCTGGCTGGGAAAGTTGTGGCCTATATCCTGCTGTCTCTCCTGTTCCCTCCCTGTCCCGTCCCTTCACCCCCCTTCCAAGCAGAGAGTCAGGAACACCAGGGCACCTCTGCTTTCCCATATCTCTCCTTCTTCCTTACTCCTTCCGCCTCTGCGTTCCTGAGTCTACACTGGTACAATCTGGGACTTTAAACTTTAAAAATTATGTGTTAAGAATCACTTATGAAATTTGTATTCTGTCTTGTAACTATACTTATAACAGTTATATTTAATTCATTTTGTGTTTAAATGTCTTCAGTATGCATCATTATTAGCCTCTTCCATACTTTGACTTTTTTTTGTACCCAGTATGAACTCAGGGGCACTTAACCACTGGATCACATCCCAAACCCCTTTTTATATTTTGAGACAGGGTCTCACTGAGTTGCTTAGAGCCTTGCTGAGTTGCTGAGGCTGGCTTTGAACTTGAAATCCTCCTGCCTCAGCCTCCTGAGCTGCTGGGATTACAGGCCTGCCACCGCCTCAGCTTGCCCTCTTAATTCTTTAACAAGAATTTTCTCTTTTGCCTTGAGTGGGTCATGAAAAAATTTTTTTCTTTGAAGTTATTTTTTAATAATTGAGAGTAGCTTTACTCATAAATGAAATTTGGCTTGCTGTGCAGCTCTTGGTTTAGATTTTCATCTTCAGTATCCTGTAGATGTTACATTATTTTCTTTTTTTGATTTCTTTTATTTGTAGATGGACACAACACCTTTATTTTATTTATTTAGTTTTTTATGTGGTGCTGAGGATCCAACCCAGGGCCTCACAGGTGCCAGGCAAGCGCTTTACCACTGACCACAGCCCCTGCCCTGTTCTATGATTTTCTGACATTTATTATGTTATGGAGAAGCATGATGCCAACATGATATGTTCTTCTTTTTCTTTTCTTTCCTTCTTTCCCTCCCTGCCTCCTTCCCTTTCTTTCTTTTTGGTGCCAGGGATTGAACCCAAGGGTGCTTAACCACTGAACCATACCCCCAGCCCTTTTTATATTTCTATTTTGAGACAGGGTCTTGCTAACTTGCTCAGGGCTTTGCTGAGTTGCTGAGGCTGGCTCTGGACCCAACCCCCTGCCTCAGCCCCCGGAGCCACTGGGGTTGTGCCAAAGCGCCCGGCGATCTTCTCACTCTCTTGACATGTGATCTTAGTTCCTTCTAGTTCATGCTCTCCGTGGTCATTGGGGCAGTGGAGTCCTGTGGAGGAGATGGCACACGACTTCCAAGGTTAAGTCGTAGAAGACACTGAAGCAGCTGGGCACAGAGGGGCCCAATGTGATCCCAATGACATGGGAGGTTGAGGCAGGAAGGTCACAAGTTTCAGGCCAGTCTCAGGAACTCAGTGAGACTCTCAGCAACTTAGTGAGACCCTGTCTCAAAATTTAAAAAAAGATTGGGAATATAACAGTGGTAGAGTGCCCCTGGGTTAAATCACTGTACCAAAAAAAAAAAAAAATGTTGAAGCTTTTGCTTTGGTCTCTTGGATCACTTGCTCAGCATGACCAGCCACAGGTCATGAAGACACTCAGGTGCCTACGGAGAGGTCCCAGGGAGGGGAATGAACTTGCCAGAGCAACTTGCTGTCCCTTCAACTTGGGTCCCACCACTGCAGTCGAGTCTTTGGTAACCGCAGGCCCCATCAATATGTGATTGCAACCGTATGAGAGATCTCCAAGATGCTCTAGAATTCCTGATCTACAGAAACTCAAAGATAACACATGCTAGTGTTTTTCTAAGCCACTAAGTTTTAGAGCAACTTGTTGGACAGTATGAAAATCATCATAGGTAATCATACATATATATATATATATTCAGTAAAATACACGTATGTACACATACATATATCTTATTGCTAAATATTTGCATGGCATGGTGAGGAACTCTATCCTTAGATCTTTGATATTTGTTTCA